TTTAACATCAAAAGTAAACATGTAGTAACGTTAAGACATTAAAAGAAAAAAATTAAAAAAACGTTTAAATTTTAAATAGCTTTAAACTCAATTATAAAATATTGTTATAATATATTTAAACGTTAAAAAAAATATATAACTTACAAAAAAAAGTTTCGTACAAAAGTTGTTTAAAAGACAATTATAAACAAAAAAAACCCAGCACAGTGGGGTGGCGGCACAGTGGGGTCGTGGCATAGTTGGGTCCAGTATAGATAATTAAAATCACTATCATAAAAAACACTTCGATGCAAATCTGTAGATAGTGTTTAATTTAAAAAAAAAATTTTTGTTAAAATGGCATATTTTTGAATACGGTAGCCATTTGCGCATAGAAGATAGGTCGTCGGGACAAATTTTTTTTTCATTTTATAGTACATAAAATAAGCTTTGATTTGATATATGTTTAAAGGACGCAGTATTCCAGGAACATTTTCAAAAGTTCAGTTAAAAAAGATCTATGTTTTTTACAATATTTCAAGTTTTGAACGCCCCCTATATAAGGGGAATTTGTCCAATTTTAATAAAAAGTATGTCAAATGAAAGATGTACTTATAATGTATTTAGAAAAAAAAAATTTGTGCTGATATATACATTTTTCAAAAAGTTATAGCATTTTTAAGTTGAAAATTTAAAATCGAAAATTTTAACAAAAAATAGTGTTTTTTTTAACTACGGCAGCCGTTTAAATGTAGAAGATAGATCGTCGGGACAAATTTCTTTTTTTTATTTTATAGTACATAAAATAAGCTTTAATGTGATATGTTTAAAGGACGTAGTATTTCCGGAAAATTTTCAGAAATTAAGTTGAAAAAGTTATTTTTTGTAAAAAAGTTACTATTTTAAATCCCCCCCAGTGAGCAGAATAAGTATTAGATTTTCAAAAAAATGATATCAAATGAAAGGTAGATATTTAAGGTTTTAGTATACAAAAAAATTATGTTGATTTTTGAAAAAGTTATGGANGTTTTAGTATACAAAAAAATGATGTTGATTTGTTGATTTTTGAAAAAGTTATGGAAGTTTTAAGAAAAAAATGAAAAAAATGACAAAATTTACCGATTTTTAAATTTGTAATATTTTTGGATATTTCCCCCATTTTCGGGAAACGAGGGAATTTTTTTCAATTTTTNCTTTTTTGGATATTTCCCCCATTTTCGGGGAATGAGGGAATTTTTTTCAATTTTTAAGGGTAATGTCTCCAACTAGATACGATTTGTGATCTTTTGACGTACTTTTGAAAGAAATCGGTCCAGTGAGAGCTGAGAAAAAGTGGCAACAGACATAAAAAAAAA